TTTGTTTCGTTTTAGCTTACAATTGTATAAATTCAATTGTAACATTGAAAACATTGATCTAATAAAAAATTTATATATTATCTTTTTTTGTTAAATTAAATTTTATATATATTTTATTTAAAACATTTGATTGTATTTATAACTAATTAATAAATATATTGAAATAATCGTAAGAAAATCAATTTTACCTAATAAATTAAATAATTTGTGTTTTATTATTTTACTACGAAAATAATAGATTTACAAGAAATTTTATAAAAAACTATTTTATAGAAAATGTTTAGAGCTATAATTAAAGCTCTATATATCTTTATGCTCAGCTCAATATTTTTCGAATTAAATTAGAAAAACCTTAAAACTACCCTTTTTCACAAATTTTCATCCCTCTTGCGGCATGGGAAGGAGGTAAGTTATCATAATGAAATTCACCACGAATTATTTTCTCATAACAATTAAAAAAATGGGGGGGTCCTGCAAAAAAAATGTTTAAGTTAAAAAATTAGGACCTCCCTAATGCACATGTTAGTTTTCCGTTCGAGGATTTTGGATTATCTGTATCTTTGAATTGTTTGTTTTTCTGTCCCGTATCATTGTTACGGTTGACATATCTGAATTCCATAGTGTCATGGTTATTTTTACGACAGTGTTTACAATATTTAGCTGTATTATTATTGTTAGATTTGTTATTGAGTAAACGTTGAGTTCCTTTATTTGACTGATAAATTTTATCCTCCTCGATACTATCTTTTATTGCTTGTTCGATTGATACAGGGTTTCTTGACTTAACTACTCCACGAATGCTGGACGGTAAGCCTTCTATATATATTGTTAGTGTCGTTTCTTTTATGTAATTATGAATGGCTTTAGCTTCTTTTGCTGATTTGCCATTAGTACTAACGTTGCAAAGCTCATGTAATAATTTTTCTATTCGTGAGGAATATTCATGTATTGTTTCACCTTGGCGAAATTTAGTCGTAGAAATTTCTAGTTGAAGGTATCCAGGAGTACGAGTGGTACAGAAAGTGTCCTCTAGAAATTTTTTAAGAGTTTCCCACGTTAGGATTTCTCTATATTGGGTAGCCGCAAATGCTTTACCAGAAAGTTTAGTTAAGATGGCTTGCAAAATAATAGGTCGGATAAATTCGTCGACATTTTTCACAACGAACTCGCACGCGCTTATAAATGGATAAATGTCCTGTATATTTTCACCATTGAAATATGGAACTAATTTAATTACCGTTTCTAAAGACAGTTGAGTAGATTGAGTCGTCATAGTTTTAATTGGTTTTAAGATTGGGGTTTTATCTTTTGGGTCAACTGATAATAATGAATTAAAACTTTTTGATCGTCTGCGCTCTTTTATTGTATCGGAAATTTGACGAATACTTTGACCTCTAGTTATTGGTTTAGATGTCCTAAGTGTGTCGAGATTAATCGGTCGAGATGGAATGTAACCTGTGTCTAATTCAGTACTATCGGAACTACTACTATCACTACTACTTAATCTAATTGACATAAATTAATTTATCTTATACAGTAAATAAAATAATATAACTTACAATAATAGTAATGTAGTGTTGATTAATCTGCTTATGTTCATCTTTGCTGTCATGGACCTTGGAAAATGTTTTCCGAATACTCCTTGAATGAATTTTGGACTCCTAATGGAATGTATGTACTGGTTTTCCCACGACGTTTTCAGGTTTCTTCTTAGACGCTCTCGACCCCAAAACAGCTGGCGTGATGATCAGGTACAACAGTTAAGAGTTTGTTTAGACGATTTTACGTATTATACGTGTTTTATCGTATTCGATATATATTATTAATTAGTATAACAATTAGTGTTGGCCAACGATATCGATAATTCGATACGATATCGATATCTAAAAATAATTATTGAAAATATCGCGATATCGAGATGGTTAATCGGGACTTATTGTACTTTTATTACTTTTATCTTCTAGGTAATAAATTATGATGACATATTGTGATAAATTCCAAAGAAATAGTTCACCATACCCAGCAATTTAATCTAAATTAAAAATTCAGTTTTGATTGTTTGCTCGCTGTGAGAAGTCGTAATCATTTAATATTTTATTTTATTATTAAATTTATATTTGTGTGAAACAAAATGAGTAAAAATTTCAAGTTAGTACCGCTGGCTGGTGCTAGGAGTGATATATGGCAACATTTTAGTTTTAAAAGCAACGAAAAGGGGATTATATTGAATAAAAATCAAGTTTTTTGTAAAAAGTGCAAATGTTCTGTTGGTTATAGTGGTAATACAACTAATCTCAAATCACATTTTCAGCAATGTTCAAGTACAAAATCAAGTATGTCAAACAGTTTAATTCCATATTTTAAGTCAACTCCTTTCAAATTATCAAATAAATCTAAGCGGACTAAAGAACTAACAAAAGGCCTGATGAAATTTGTTGTAAAAGATTTAAGACCTTTGAGTATTGTAGAAGGAGAAGGTTTTCTTGAATTTATGAATATAGCTGTACCTGAGTATATTGTTCCTAGTAAACAAACAATAATTAGACTTGTTGAATAGACTGCACAAAATGAAAAAATCAATTTAAAATGTTTCTTAAAAAATATTCCACATGTTTGTATAACTATTGATTTTTGGACGTCATTAACAAATCATAGTTATTTAGGCGTAACTTGTCATTATTTAGATAATTGGTATTTACGTACACGTGTTTTAGAAACAGTGGAAGTTCCTGAATCCCATACCTCAATAAATATTGTCAACAATTTAAAATATATTCTTAAATTTTGGAACATTGAAAATAAAGTTTGTGCAATTGTAAGCGATAATGCTACAAATATGGTCAAAGCTATTAGCGATATAGATCAAACGTATTTAGTTAGATGTACTGCTCACTCTATACAGTTATCTATAAATGCAGGTATCCAAAATAATGTAGTAAAAGAAATAATAAATAAGCTGCGAAAAATAGTGGGACATTTTAATAGAAGTGCCACTGCTCTTAGAACTTGAAATTGAACAAGAAAAATGTGGCGAAAAAAAACATAAACTAGTTCAAGATTGCGTTACTCGTTGGAATTCGACGTGTGATATGATCGATAGTGTCTTACAACATAAAATTTCAATTAATAATATTATTTCTAAAAACCAAAAAATTGATAAATGGTTTATAACTTCTGGCGAATTTAAAAATTTAAAAGACTTATTAAAGTTACTAGAACCATTTAAAGTTATCACAGAAGTATTAGGTGGAGAAAACTATAAAACTGCGTCAATAGCACACAGGTTGATTAAAAGTCTTTTAAATACGTTAAAAGTTAGTGAACAAGACTCACATTTTTTTAACTACAGTTAAAAAAATCTATTTTAAATGACTTAAAAAAACGTAGAGAAATGATGAGTATAATACTGTCAAAAGCATCTGCATTAGACCCTAGATTTCGATAGTTGAAATTTTTATCGGAAGAAGAAAAAGAAACCGTTTGGAAACAACTTCAAAATGAGTTGAAAGAATTAATTCCCGATCCAAAAATAGAAAATGAAGTACAATTAAATTCTGATTCAATATTAGAAAATGAAGAAGATATTGAAACATTTGAAACACATCACTTTCCCCCTCGTAAGAATCTACGATTATTAATGAAAGATAGCGATGATGATGACGAAGAAAATTATTCAGTAACTCAAAGTCCTGCAATCAAATAACTTGAAGAGTACAGAAATTTGAAAATCAAAATTCCTTACGATCAAGATCCTTTAAAGTGGTGGAAAGAAAATGAATTTAAATACTCAGGTGTATCATTATTAGCTAAAAAATATTTAAGTATAGTAGCCATTAGTGTTCCTTGTGAACGACTATTTAGCGAAGCTGGAACAATCATATCCAAAAAAAGAAATATATTATCTCCTGAACAACTCAGTCAACTATTATTTCTGAACTCATACTTCAAATCAAATCCAAACTCTGAAACATTGATGGAAAAATTTCTGGAAGAAGAAAATTCGTAAACTGCAAAATTTATATTTACATTTATTCATATTATTTGTGTTATTTATTTATATTTACATTATAATACATAATAAATTATTAATTAGTAAAAACATCTAGGTAATACATAATTTTTATTTAATATTAATGATTATTACAACTTCTTTCTGACTGTACTTACTTCAAGTTTGTCTTGATTTATTTTCCCTGTTAATAGATATTTAAAGTTCCAGCATGACTTTAAATAACTAGAAAGATCAAGAGTAGATTGAATTTTAATTCTGAGCCCACAAGCAGTACTATCAGATAAAAATTCTGATTTTTTTACTTCGCCAACTGTATATTGTTTTTGCCATTCATTCAACCAAACGAAAAAATGATTGAAGAAACTGTACATTTTAAATTTAATTATTTAAGTATGCAAATGTATGTTAATCTAATTTTTGTATGAACATAATAAAATATTTATTTTTACCTGATAGTCTTTGCTGTTAACTTTTAGTCCTTCAGCACCAAATTTTCTGTTCAGTGCGTCAAAACAATCATTAAACTTTTGACAAAATTCGAATGTTGGATCACAATCATTTAAGCCAGGAATATTATATTTTTTATAAAACATTAACACGTTGATGGACAGTTGCTAAATATTACTGCTATAGCAGTAGTATACAAACCATCCAAAATGTGTCATTACTGCTATAGCAGTGATATTTTCAATGGTATCTTATGAAAGAGGAAGTTGTTCTGACCCCGGACGTCTCAACGGGCCATTGGGCACTCTATTTTTAGCCTGTTTTTATACGTCCTTGTAATTTACACACGTATTTTCCATTTTTATTCTCTTATCGATCAATTATAATTTATTTATCCATAACTGTTATGTTTTTCTTATTTTATAAACATCATAGAACATATTCTATACGTTATATTTATAATATTAGTACGTACGCGATCGCCGTTGAAGTGTGATATTATAGTGCGTTAAGTGATGAGTGTTTACAAGTTTACATTAAAATGAATTCACGTGAAAAAATAAATGTAAATCAGTTATTAGATGAAGATTACGATTCTTATGATTCTAATATTTCAATTATTGACGATTCTGATGCTGATCCTAATTTTTATCCATCCGGTGTCGCTGAAAAAGGCTCAATTAACAGTTCACCTGATGTATCAATGGACGATCCATCAAATTCAAATGTATTAGTGATGCCTCAAATACAAAATTTATCTGATGATGAATATTCGACTGAGGTAAGTACGTCTAGTGATGAAAGTGAAAAAGATGACGAGGATTCTGAATGGGTTGATAACTACAAAACTATTTCTGATTTTGAATTTAATTCGAACTCCTCTGGAATTAAAATAAATATATTAGAATCTGCTAAAGACTCTCCTATCGAAATATTTAACCAAATTTGGACGGGCGATATACTTGAGATTATTATAAGTTCAACAAATAGTTATGGTCAAAAACTTGCATTAAAAGATCAGCCTCATAATAAAAATTCTAGAAGTTCGACTTTCAAAAATACTGATACAGAAGAAATCAATAAATTTTTGGGTTTATGTTTACTTTTTGGGTCTTCCAAATTTTCTGTGTTGCGAGATGCATTTTCAAATAACCCATTATATTATTATCCAATCGCAAAAAAAATTATGTCAGGAAGACGGTTCGAACAACTTCTGAATTGTTTCAGTGTTGAGTATTCGGAAAAAATAGTAGTTGCTGATGGCCCAATGAAAAAAATTGAACCAGTGTACACAATGTTAATTGATAATTTTCAAAAAGCTTTTTACCCACATATTGAACTTTCGTTAGATGAGTCTCTGCTTCTCCACCGTGGAAGATTATGTTTTCGACAGTATATCAAAGGAAAAAAAGCGAAGTATGGTATTAAATTCTATGAGCTTTGTTCTCCAGATGGTTACGTTTTAAATATAGAAATGTATAAGGGAAAACAATTTTCAAGTGGGGCGCTAACTTCAAAAATTGACAGTTTAGTACTAAGGCTTATGATTCCTTATTTAAATAAGGGTCATCACTTGATTATGGACAATTACTACAACAGTGTTAATCTTTCGAATTTACTTTTAAATCACAAAACACACACCACTGGTACATTGCGAAGTAACCGAAGGGGTAATCCAAAATATGTTGTTCAAAAAAAATTGAAAAGAGGTGATCATATTTGGAAACGTCAAAATAAGGTGTATGTTTCTAAATGGAAAGATAAGAGGGATGTCTTATGCATAACAACCAATTATCAACCAAAAATGATAGTCTCCAAAAATAAATATGGCCAAGAAAATCCAAAACCTATCGAAATTGCCAAGTATAATGAGTTTATGAGTGGAGTAGATCGCGCCGATCAAATGATCTCTTATTATTCTTGTCCTCGGAAATCTGCAAAGTGGTACAAGAAAGTAATTTTTCATCTGTTAGACGTCGCTGTTTGGAATAGTTTTTATATATATAAACAACATTTTGATTGTCCAGATTTCAGGTTCAAAGTATATAGAGACTTACTTATTAAAGATTTAATTAAAATTCCAAAAAATACTACAGCAACTGAATTTTTTCAATTAAAAAAAAAATCAAGAAAATCAAGCCGAGGTGAAGATTTGAGAGAAGGTCATTTCGAAGAACCCATACCGTTACCACCAAATTATAAAAGACAAAAAAAATTTAAAAATTGTGTTCAGTGTTATAAACAAAAAACCAGAAAACAAACTTCCATTCAATGTCAAAAATGTAAAGTACCTCTGTGTCCACTATGTTTTAAAGATTACCATGCTGCTCAACCAGAAGGATGAATATAAAGTTCAAATTAATTAATTAATAAAAAATTAGTTTAAAATTTTAATCTAAGTATTGTATAAGTATAATTTTTCAATAATATAATAAAGTTTTTGTATTGCATTTTGTTTCATTTCATTAAATAAAAATAACTTCCCTATCTTTTTATGCATTCCTTAAAATAAATCGTAGCTTTCAACATAATAATTATAAAATAATTAACTAATAAAATGTAATACTGGTATAGCAGTAATTTTCAATCAAAAATGTGATGTCGGGGGTCAGTACTGCTATAGCAGTACTAAAAATATTACTGCTATAGCAGTAATGAAATGTGACGTTTTAAGGGTGGTGTTTTTGAAAAATAATTAAATCAACTGTCCATCAACGTGTTAAGCCATTAGCAACAGAATTACTCAATACCTAAATTATGTATAAAGACAAACCAAAAATCTGTGAGTATTGTATATTAATTAAATATTTATGTACCTACTAAGTATTAATTATTATTTTATTATATAGACGAGTTTGAAAAAAAATGTATACTTGGGTAGCTAGCCGTACTCTCATTTTATCAGACACACTAAGATGTACATGGTTTCAGGATAATTTTGAACAAACCCTTAAATTTCCTGGTAATTTACTATCTTGCTCGTATAAAATACTAATGGGATTCCAACAGATATACTGACCATTAATCTACATAAAGGAAGGTAATAGAATTAATTAATTTCCTTTTTTTATGATTATTATCTAAAATACATACCTTCGTACAAAATATAGCTCCCATTGATCATGCAAATTTAACAAATAAACACATATTAATATTAATTAGTTAAAACAAATATTTAAAATAATAACACACAAAGTAACACATTGCTATTTTCTATATTAAGTTATTTAACACCAATGAATAACTACATACAAATCTATACAGTATAATATATACAAAACAAAATTCACAGTGCTTGACATAGATTTAAATTTATTAGGATTAATATATTTTTTTTTTTTATTTCTTAGGAATTGTTTTATTGGGTTTCAGCTAGTATGAAAGACAAAAATAATATTTTAAATAAATAAATATTAGATTAATTGTTAGTACTAAACAAAAAACGAGTTTCAGAATATAATTAGATAATACAAACTTACCTTCAATATTTTATCATTGTATAATTTATTTCTGACGTTCTTAAACAGATGAAGTGTATCAGAAAATGCATATATTTTTCGATCTTCATGAAGAGGGTGTTGAAACCAATTTTTAAAAGAATTAACTTGGCCACTTATTCCAAGTTCAGACCACATTTTTCTGTTTGACTGTGCTCCATCAGAGACAAATCCATGTATAATAGCACCTGCTTGCTCTAAAAGAATTATACATTTCAACATAAGTTTTGCTAACTCTGTGCCGACTACAGATCCTCTAGATGCAAATACGGCTACAGGTTGAGAATAAGTGGCTGCAAGTGGCTGGAACATAAATACTAATCAACTTGTTGCCTTTTCATTTATATCACTTGCTTTATAATCATCACCAAAATCTACAAGGCCTTTATAAGTAAGGCTTTTGGAGCATACAGTTGGAGCATATCTTACTGATATCTCATCTACAAGAATAATACCATGTTTTTGCATGGTAGATTTATTTTCTAGGTGTTTTTAAAATAGAGCAAAAAATTGTTTATCAAACCCACAAGATGTATCTATTAAAGAGAGATAACGCCTAATAGTACTAACATTAGGCAATGGTATTATATTGTTCTTCAAGCAAAAATTGTAACCACTTGGGGATCGAATATGAAACAACATACATAGTATTAACCATTCATCAGAATATCGTCTACCTTTAGAGTTATTAACCTAGTTTACAAAACAAAAAAATAAAATAAAATAATAATATTCTGATGATATTTTAAATTAACATATTACTTTTGCTGCTGAAAATATTTCTTGAACAATTGTCTTTTGATTTACAGGGCAATTAATTTCAATCAGTTTCTCTTCAATAGATTTTTGAGAAATATTACTATACTCAGATTGAAGGTTAAGTAAATTTTTCTTTAATGAACTAACTTGTTTTTTGTCTTCTGAGAACATTGTTTCTTTTTTGTAAAATTATCAATTTTTTTCTACTTTTTGGTATAGTTTTTAGGGAAATTCGTTTAGGAGATGATAGTAAGGTAGATCGAATTTGTTTTTGCTTTACATTTCATATGATTCTTGTACAGTACATACAATATAAATTATTAGAAATTAAGAACAAACATTCATTATGTCGTTTCATTTGCATGGTATCAGTTACAATATTTTCAGAAATATAAAAAATGATTCATATCTATAATTGTGAAAAAAAATGAAATTATTTTATTTTTATTATTCTTAACTATTTTATTTGTTACTTTTTTGAGCTTATTAAATCCAATCCTTTACGAATTTTTAATAAAGCCATTTCTTTAATTAAACTTTTTAACTGATCTATACTTTCAAGATTAGTATCGGCATTTACTAATTTATCATTGCATATATTTTTCCCCAAAATATTGCAAGTAATTTTTGAACTTTGGCTTATAATTATACTTTTCCGTAAAAAAGAATTTAACTTGCCCTCATTTTCTACAAAAATAATTTTAGATATGCCAAAGTACTTCTTTTCATAAGAAAAATATTTGTGCCAGTTAGGGGGTAGCTGCAAGTCTAAAGTATTCAATTCATTAAATGAAATTGAATTACTTTGCTCTTTTATAGTTGTTGACATATTCTATAAATAAATTTAATTTCAAATTTTAAACTCAAGAAAGTAATTATTTATACGCAAATATATTATTTTGATTATATCAATGTTTTAAATTTCTTACTTCTTGGCATATCATAGTTTTATTAACATTGTACTTTGCAACAGAATCATCTAATTGTAAATTATCATTAGGCTTAGCAGAATAATTATGGTCTAACATTATATCCACTATATTTTTATCAGGATCACATTGGTAATCCTTAAAATGTAATGTTTAATTTAAACAAAATATAAAATTGTAATAATAAATGTATTAGTTATTAATTTATAATTACTATATCAGAAAATATAGGGACACTGGTTTCTACAACTTTGCCACTACAAGAGTCCATCAATAATTCCTCTGTCTAATAAATATTAAAATTTAATACTTAATTATAAATATGTGTAATTATATTTTTATAAATTACTTTACTTTTTTTTCAGTGTTATCAAATTTTAATTTTTTCCTTGCAGAAAACCTAAAAGGAACTGCATTAGGTAATAATCGAGGACGTAACAAAGGAACCTAGACAATCATTTTTCATAACTCATGAGGCATACTTTCTAAATACTAAATATAGTCTACATATCATCTATAACTTACTGAGCATACAATTTTCCCCACGTTATCAAATATATCCTTTTTTTTTTTTTTGTATTTGGTCTGTACGAAAATGTTCTTCACAGACAACATTATTACTATACAAATGTGGAACATCGTGGGATTTTAACCATTCGTTTTTTAAAAGTTCGTCTTTTGGAATGGAAAACACGGATAATTGTTTTTTGGTATTACAACCAAATAAACAAATATTGTTGGGCATAATTTATTCTTTAGCGATAAAAAACTGATTGTAATAAAATAGCGTATACAATTGTGAATTACTCGGTAAATAGAAATAAATATTTTAATTATTTTCTATTGAGTTCAATAGCTGATTTTAGATTTTTGGCGGAATTTTGAACCTTATCAAAATATTAGATAAGAATAAATTTTTAAGTTTATAACCTCAAGAAATATAACCTGCAGCGCTCGTGAGTAACAATTGAACTAAATCTGCTACAACAAGCGGACAACTGATAAATACTAGTCGTCGGACCTTATCTTCTAAGACCATGGTTTATTCTATAATCAGTGATAACAACAAAAAAATTAAAATGTATTTTTCAAGAAAAAGAATTAGTTTATTCGTACAACGCTATCTCTCGGAAACTTTTAATATCATAATTTTTATCATCGTTTTTCCCTATGCAATGGCCTATCAATGCTTTACATTAATTCATAATAATAATAATAAATACATATATATATATTTTTACATTCAAAATTTGATAATTATTATTTATTTTAAAATTATATTATTTACACACTCGCTTCAAACGATCAAATCCTATTACTCCACTAAACGGCCTTTGTCCCAATTGTTCCCCCTCTACATCAGTGACGACGTATCGATCGTACCTTAACTTTCGGACTATTTGGTACGGGCCTTATATTATTTAGGCTCTAGTTTCCTACTTTGCCCTGATGCCGGTGCTTCCCATTTAACTAACACCAAATCTCCTTTCTGAAATTTTTCAGGTTTCCTTTCTCTCTGGGTTATTTTACGTAGTTCTTTCTCTCTGTTTTTCCGTAAAACCTCGGTCGGGTCAATTTCTTTGTTTGTTGTGTACTCATCTTTATTTATTATTGACACCTCACTCACCAACGGGTTATCGACGCAACTGGCGATCTTGAAGCAGTATACTACGTCGGATGGCGTGTAACCGGTCACTTTGTATTTACTGTTGTTAATTCCCCACTGTACCTCCATCGACCTTAAGTCCCAATCAGCGTTATCAGGATTTTCGGTTATCGTCGCCAAACACCTTACTGTTATTCCGTTTATTATCTCGGCCTGACCGTTGCTACGCGGACTTTTCGACGATATTTTCGTGATTTATATTTAATTCGTGACAAAATTTTTTGAATATCGCCGCCGTAAATGCGATACCCCTATCTGTGATTATTCGTTCCGACCTACCATACAAACATACAAACTTACGCATATAGTACACAGTTTCAATAGCCGTCACGTCTTTTACGGCACGTAATACAACATACTTACTAAACCCATCTACTATTGTAAGAATATATATTTATTATCTCTCTCGGTCATAACGAACGGTCCTACACGATCGAAATGTATCACCTGGAACGGTTCATTACCTTTATCTAAAGGATGCCAGTAAAATTCT